AATTAAAAATTCATTCAGATAAAAATGTAAAGTATTTAGATTTAGTTTTGCTAAAATATTTACATAGTTAACATTCCTATTTTTTCATTTTGTTTTCAAGCAAAAATTAAAAACAAATGATGATTATCTGTTTTACTTGTTTCTTTGTTCTATTTAAACTAATCGAAGGTCAGAAATGAAATTTAAAAAAAAAAAAAAGCTGCAGAACTTTTGCTTAAATTCATTTTTAAGGGAAACGTATCTTAGCTGGCAAAGAATTCATTCTATTGAAGAATTATTTAATACAAAACCCTCCAAGAATAAAAGTAAAAAGTACATCCCATGCCAGAACTGATAATATTTTGTTCTACATAACATCACTTTGTAACTATTTTTACTTTAGATTGTGTAGATTGAAATTAAAAAAACCAAACAAGTGCTATGTTTTCGCTATATGCTCGCTATATTTGTGAAAAATATCAATTTACCACAAAATGTTATCAAATACTTATAAAGACATTATTTTGTTTCATATTTATATCTTTCCTAGTTTTTCTTGCCAGCCAAATTTCTGTCGGTCTAAAATAATTAAGTCATACAAAAATCGCCTTTTCTTCTTCTTCTTGAAAAAGAATGTGCCCTTAAAAAGCCTAAAAAGACATCAGCTTTATGTTAAAGATTTAAGCAATCAAGCTCTGAAGTCTTTATTTACTTAAAAGTGCTAGAAAAACTGCATAATAGAATGACACTGCAGACCAGTTACTGTGTCTAAGCGAGTGTGAATTCAGATCATTGATTCTTTTCTTTTGATTTTGGTGGGTGGAACAAGTAGTTATGACACGCATAAAAGTAATTAAAAACTTTCTGTTACGCGCTTCGCTGAAAACATGGCGGTGATTAATGTTAAAGATAAAATTAAAAAAAAATATGCTTTGATTCACTAACGATATATGACATTCAAATCTCGTCCTCGAATAATAATTATTTTTCAGAATTAATGCATTTGGTGTTATAATCGCAAAATAATCCTCAAAATCATTAAATTGCATAACTTTCCAGTGATACCTAAATTGAGAGATCGCGGAATATAGGTGATCTATAAATTGGAATAAGTAAAGGCAAAACATGTTTTCTCAGCTATCATAGAATGTCATTATTACATATGAAAAAGTCTTTAATCTGTAACTGTAACGATTTTCTCTTTCATAAATATTTTTATTTATTCTTAAATATTTTGTATTTATTCATAAGATTGTATCGATTTATAAATGAAGGCAGTCTGATTGCAAGAGCCCAATCCGAGCTTTAGTATAGTTATCTTTATTTTAAATCAAGATCTAAAGAGAAATATTATTCCAAAATAAAATTCAATTTGAAAACGATATTTTATTATATATAATATTATTTAAAAGTATAAAAGAAGCATTTAAAGAATTTCTTAGTTTAAAATGTTTAATGAAACTTTCAAACCCGAAATTTTAATGTAGTTATTGATAAATTTATATTTACATTATAACATTAGTCTCTAATTTTACCCATAATGGAGTAAATTTATTCTTTACATATTAGAACGAGAAATTATTTATGATCAAACAGTAGAATTTTCACTTATTTTTAATATGATGTGAAATTTCTTCGTAGAAGTCAATATTAGTTAGAGTTAATTTGCACTAAGTATACATAGGAATAACATTAACTTTCTATTGTTATGAAAAATTATTCAAACTTGTATTGCACAAAGGGAAATACTTTCCTGTTGGAAGAAAAACGATCCACTATTTTAAGAGACGACGATCGAACCAGTTGCTTCAAAATAATTGCGACTTAAGCGTTCGAACCTCTCAAACAATTCACCTTTTCGAGAAAAATTTTGTTCCACTCTTCAGTCCTTTTTCATTGTCAAATGATAAATTTATGTGCTACAGTAACTTTTTGAAGTAACATAGTTTTTATTAATTTTATGTGAATAATAGTTTTTCTTCCCAAAATTAACGGATTCAGAATACAATGCTAAAAAAACAAACAACATGGGCATTAAAAGCTTCGAAATAGCAAATATTTAATATCCCCCTGCAAAATAAGGAAACATTTAAATGTCATCGGCCGTCAATTTAATGGCTAGGCCAGTTTATATGATTTTTTTTTTATTTTCAAAACATGATATTACATCAAAGGCCTCTTTCTGATTTTGAACTAGGACTTCATAGATGCAAAAAGTTTTTTATATATTGCTTATGGGTCGCGTCTCACAGTTGGAGTTAACCAATCATGCCAGGGCTCAGATATTGATGAAAATGCCATCTAGAACTCAAGTCATTACCCATTGTAATGGTATTAATGCAACAAATTCAGCGTTACTCAGGATGCACCCTGCAGATTCACGCTGCATCTTACACTGCGTAAAAAAAAAAATAGAAGGACAGTGTTTTTTGCCAATTAATATCTCTTATTTTCTCCCTAACTACCAGATATTTATGCAGATTTAGTTTAATGACCCTTTTTTTCATTTTAGGCAAAAATTAAACATCTACCACTAATATTAATAATAAAATTAGTATATATAATTTCCGATGCGTAAAAAAAGTAGAAGGACACTTACTAATATATTTAATTTAGTGAGTTGTTCTTTTTAAATAGTAATTTTGTACTTTGTTTTATCCTTTTCTGTCAAAAAAATCTGATTTGCTTAAAAGTTACACTGTTTCTCCGTTCTCAGAAATGCCTAAAGGAATAACTTTGAACGATTTTCAAAAAGTCCAAATTTCCGCATATCAAAAATGATGGTAAAGGTGTCAGAGAGATTGCTCAATTGTTGCAGGTGAGCCCCAATACAGTTTCAAACTTTATCAGAAATCCTTATAAAAATGGAAAGAAAAAGAAGACTGGTAGACCGAAAAGTTAACACCACATGATGAAAGAAAACTTGTTCGTGTGCTTAAGAAGAACAAAGGAAGTGTTTCAAAGGCAAGAAATAAAGCAGGACTTAATCATGTGACGAAACAAACAGTTTACAACTACATTAAAAGATCTAAAAAATTCATTTTCAAAAAACGGAAACATCATTCTAAGTGGACACAAGCTCACATTCATAACCGTTTAGCGTGGGCTAAGGAACACACGTCCTGGACTACAGAATGGACTTCTGTGATATTTTCCGATGAAAAGAAATTTAACTTAGATGGTCCAGACGGATATCAGCACTACTGGCATTGTCTGGGGAATGAAGACGAATACTATTCAACACGACAAATGGGAGGAGGGAGTTTAATGGTTTGGTTGGCTGTTGGATACAGAGGAAGGACAAGTCTGGTTTTCTTAAATGGTAGTCAAAAACATACAGACTACATTCAAGTGCTGAATTCCGAGATTCTTCCTTATGGCTCTGACTTGGGGGGTGAAGAGTGGAAGTTTCAGCAAAACGGAGCTTCCATTCACACCGCTACTGGAGTCAAAAATTGGTTCCTAACAAATGATGTGGATGTTTCACCATGGCCATCCAAAAGTCCTGACCTTAATATAGTGGAAAACATCTGGGCAATGCTAGTTCTTCGAGTTTATGCTGATGGAAGGCAATTTGATTCCCTAACTCAGCTTCGAGAAGCATTGAATGACTCATGGGACAATTTTTGTCAAACAGATGTTCAATCTCTATATAATTCACTTCCAAACAGAATATTTGAAGTTATAAAGGCCAATGGGAAGAACATACCTTATTAAAATCACTATTTTTTCCTTCATTATGATGCTGTCCTTCTACTTTTTTTTACAAAGTTTCAAAAAAGAGAAACTATTTTTTGTTGCCATTAATATTCTATGTTTGAATATCATAATTCTGATGTTAAAGTTGTATTTTTAAAATATTTGTAAAATGTTTCTAATAAAAAATTTTAGCAAAAATAAAATATTTTTCGGTTATTGTTACAAAATGTGCCCAGTATCCTTCTACTTTTTTTACGTAGTGTACCTTCATTGTGGTACCGAGATTTGGAACTAACAGGAGTTTAATATGAGAGCGACATCCAGCGGAAAACTTTCTGGTTTTATCATGCATATTTGCTGTCGGGTTTCGCGTTAAATTCTCTCAACTTAACCAATGTGCTATTCATCAAGCTACTCCCGGCTCCGATGGGTATGTAAATTCTAGTAATATTATCTTTTTACTCATACAAAATCAAAATAACAATTTTCAACCTCTAGTATTTTGACTAAATATCCACAAGACAGCTTACTGACAGCACATTAATTTAGCGGGTATTTTTTATGTTACTTTGAAACGGCAGTCTTCCTAAACGCAAAGGCATTCAAAAGTCTGCAACCTGTTAAAGGCCTCAACTGGAATAGCTGGAAAAAAAACTTGGTTAGCCTAAGAGAAATACCTGCCAGAAAGGGGTCAAACGTCGTTCACCTCTTGAAGATAAATGGTTTCCTACAGTTTTTGTTTTTACTCAATTGGAGAATAAAGAGATGAAATGAGTTCATGCGAAAAAGTGCCTACATCAAGATATATACAGTAAAAAAATATATAGTCATTTTACCACTATTTGAATGATCAAACAACTGTATTTTCAAAAGCAGATGGGATTTTCAAGAAATTCACATCTGATTTTAGAACTGAAAAATGTTTTGAAATATTGCGCTGAATTGTATTTACTTGCAGTAATACTTGCGATTAGTTTTTCTAGTTACAAAATGTTTTTAGAAATTCTTCATTATTTTCACTCCAAGCATCATTTTAAAATGAACCATTTTGCTGTAGATATAAAACATTTAATTAAATATCATATAAATAGGATCATACATTTCATGTTAAACTGTTGGCATTTTTTACACTCTGAAGATAAGATTCGATATGATAAGATTGATATGATAAGATTCAATATATAAGATATGATAAGATTCGGCGCAGCCTACGGTCTTCAAGAGGAGAGGAGGCAAGTAATGCCATTCGTAAAAACGTTCATTGGTTATTGTCTCTCACTTTTGTGTTTTAGAGGTAAAAGAGACCAAGAAAACAAGTATCCAACGGCCATACCATGGTGAATATACCGGTTCTCGTTAGATCACCGAAGTCAAGCATCAGTACTTGGTCAGTACTTGGGTGGGTGACCACCTGGGAACACCGCGTGCCGTAGGCCTTCACAAATTTGGGACCTGAATGGCAGAGTGTCTAGCGCTCTGGCGCTCGGTGCCACAGGTTTCGGGTTCGAATCCCGGCGGTGCCATGGATGTTTGTAGTAGTTCGGAATCCACTTTAAGCCGTAAGTCCCGGTCTCCTATGACTGTAAGAGCGTCTCGTAGCCAAAGTCAGACTTCTACCTACGGGTGCTCCATCACAACAGAAGCTGCTTCCTTCCCCTTCAATCATGAGTACGTATGGGCTCGTGGGCTTGGCCAGCCAAGTGGGATAAGAAACAACAACAAAACAACAAACAGAGGTAAAACCTTTCAACCGTTCAATCTGTCTTTCAACGAGAGAAAATCTTTTACGTAACCAAACGAGTCTACTCCTTTTACAAAACAGAAACCGTAACATACACATCAACAGATATCTAACCTTCTCCCTGTTGCAGGTAGTGCACACTATCAATAACCCCTAAGTAGGGTGGATCCTACTTAAAAACAAAAGTAAAATCATTTCAATATCATTTGTAAAGTTTTCTCAATCGTGTTATGTTTTAAAAAGAAATAAACTTCACTTAATATTAATACCATGAAAACTGCTTTGAAGCAACTCTATTATTAATCACGTTTGAGTCAGAACCAAAAGAATAACTGCATTTTATGCATCGTAAATACCCTTTGAAGATTCCCAGCACGACCACTTGCTGCAATTTTGTATTTTGATTTTGAGCATTCGTGCAAGGAATTCACGTGTATCCATTTCGCTTCTGGCATTTCACTGTTATGCAGTTATGACGTAACGGTTTACCTGAAGAGTGGAATTGAAACACTTTCCTGAAAGTTAGTAAGAGTTCTCAATACGAAAGGTAATAGAAATGTAATAGTGGTTTTTATTTGCAATTTTGCTAACGCTATGAATGTGTGCAGTTTTTCTCATTGTCTCACTCCTCGAGTTTTAAAAATGATCTGTAAACCAATTTTTTTAACCTGTTCTAATTAAACTTTCTTAGGATTTTGATGTTAAGCTGTCATTAGGTTACAAAAATTATTTAAAAGCGTTTAGTTATTCTTTAAAAGAAATTAAACAATATGAATTATTGACATTTGCCGAATCAATTGGTTGAAATATAATTTCACGGTACAATCCTGTGTAAAATGGAAGTGTTTTATCACTATACGGTTTAGTTAAATTCAAAATTTTTGAAAGTATTCCATATATTTTATAGACAATAGCATCATAAAATTATAAGGATAGTCTATATCTTTCAAAAGAGTAGTTCACATAATTATTGTCAGTTTAATGTTGCCTTTGTTGCTTTTATTGTTAACTCCTTTTGTGTTTTGCTGTCAACCTATCAAGCTTTATTCATTGTTGCTTTTGTTGTAAGTAAGGCGAAAAACATCTCAAACACAATCCTATTTTACATTTACATACATTTGTATATATGATAGGAACATATGCTTAAATATGAACTAAAAGAAGAATATATAAAACTATGTGCAATTAAAAGAAGTAGAGATTAAAATATTATTTAAAGGGATCATTAAATAGAAATTAAATTTACAAATAATCGTGTTATAAAAATTAAATATAATGCTTCTGAAACAAAAATGTATTAAAAATTATTTTTTAATCTTGCTGAAAACTAAGCCATTATTTCGGATCTGTGTAATGAATACTTAATGAATACTTTTGTTGCTATTTTTCCGTTAGCAGAATAGTATTGATTCTTTGTTACGTCCTTTTTTTACTTATATTATATGAGTCAAATCACATCATAAGTTGTGGAATATTACAGCATGGTGTTCATAGAATATTAACAAATATGTCATTTAAATATGTTTCTTTTATGAATCCTCTACGCTTGACTTTTCCATCATGTTTTGTTTAATGACTTTTCCCCAATATGTTAACATTTGATGACACCTGTTCAGTGCGAAAGTTTACCGTAAAGCTATTATAATAACAAAGAAACACTCTTTGTCTCGGGATGTCTATCTTCCTGAGAACAAAATCTTAATATCAGAAACTTATAATTTATGTTTCAATTCCAAATTTAATTTTTTTTTAAATAATCCTGTTTCTTTTCATTTATTCAGGTATTAAGCATTTTGAATATTAAAATTGTGATTTTTAAAAAAAAAATAATGAGGAAATACATAAAACGATTTACAGTATAAATTAGTACAAAATGACTTACGTATACAACACGCTTACAAATCAAATAAATATGTTCAGCACATGAATTGATATTTCTATAAGAAAATACCCTAATATATAAAAATTAACCTTTTTAACGTCATAAAATATTTTTACACTAAAAATGATAATGAAAAATAGATATACTCGATATAAAAATAGATATTTTTTATTTCCAATGGCAGGCTACAATAAGTAATAAAATAAAAAAGAAAAAGAACACAAGGAACATGAAAACAACAACAAGAATCACATAGTGACATGTTTAGCCCATAAGGGCCCTAGCCTCCTAGTAACGACCATACACAGTAGAGGAAACAAGTACATGGCATACAGGAAGGTGAGATGAATCCATGTCCTCTCAAGACTGCAGAGCATGCATTTTGGGCTTGCAAATATTTTCATTCGAAAAGATGATTGGCCATACAATCATGGCCCGTCAGGAGTCTGAAAAGGGCGACAGCTTTAAACCTGGGCTGATCAGGGATGTTTACAATAAAATTAAACTAGGGTCTTAGATCAGTTGCCATCAAGTAGATTATCATATAGAGTGTTCCGAAAATGTCTCGAATCATCAGTTTCATCGAATGAAAAGAGATGTCTTTACAAAAGGTTTGGGTGATGGTTGTTCCTTTTGGCAAGAGAATCCGCCTTCTCATTACCCGAGATTCCACAATGGCCTGGGATCCACTGTAAAACGATATCCCTTGACTTTTGAGTCAAGGTCTTCAAGATAAGAGAATAAAAATAGATATAGATATATTCATTTCGTTTTGATTAAAGTTTGTTTACCTAGTCCATGATTTTCGTTAATCTAGGCAGTTTCCAGGCTGATTTTCCTAATTTTGGACTGTTTTGAACCCTGATTTTTTTTTCATTTTCTCTCGAGAGTTTTCAAAAATTCAGTTTTTATTTGAAGATTTCTTTTCTCATTCTTATATATCCAAAATTTGCTAGAGAATTTCACTAAGATTAAGGTCTGTCGGTTGTTTTCAATATATTTTTTTCATTACATAGCAGTCAAAACTTAGTCATCTTAGCCTTATTCTTAGGACCCTTGCCTCGATGAAAAAAAAAAACGAAATTTCCGATTTCTATGCGCTATTAAATAAATTATTTGTCAATGTATTAATATATTGTTTAACATTCAAATTTCAATAACCCGGTAAAAGGCATATATCCTAAATCATTTCAGGACCTCTACTTATTTTACAGTTGACCTCAAATTATTTGTTTCAAAGCACTTAATTTACTTTCGTCATACAGTTTTACTTTAATATAAACGGAAAATATTGAATGAAATACGAAATAAATATACAGAGATATAAACAACATATATATATTTAGAAATTTTCTGGAAATTTGTTTTGGGGGAAATTTTTATTATGTTACGTTTAAAAATAATCCTTTTAAAACGATCGATTTCACAGCTGCCTCTGTACCAGGTAAATATTTATTTTGATATATCACTCATGCTTTTTTTTTCCGACATAAACAAATCGTTTATTTAACACTCTAGACGTTAACAGCTAATTAAAAATAATCGAACATATGATCTATGAAAACAAAAACTTTTCCATCCTCGCAGACTTAGCTACTAATTATCTCTCTGCACTGGTGCAGAATGAGGCTCGACTGACACCCAGATGACGACATAGTATTTAAAAGCTGAAGGAATTTCGTCCTAATTGTTTATTAGATTTTTGTGTGCTAAATAATGCAGGCTTTCAAATCCTTTTCTTTTTTTCTGGACATTAAAGACGTATAAATTTGGTGAAGATTGAACAGTGATAAACTTCATAAAAACGTTCATTTCAATTTATTTTCATTTTCTAGTGCCATATGGCTGAATTTGCCTGGTTTAGGAACAATTGTTACAGTTACCACTTTAGCAGGATTGTTGATATATGGCAGATATGCTGACTGTGATCCTATTCAAACGAAACAAGTTAGCGCACCAGATCAGGTTAGTAAATTTAGGTTTATGAATTCATATTTCTTTGCATATATATATATATATATATATTATTTCAGTTTTTGTATTTTATATATATATATGTGTGATATATATCTACCTTGAAATGCCATTAAATGCAGCATATGCAAAATGTAGTTTCATTCCAAAGGCCAAAGCACTTATCTCCTTTCTGCAATAAAACACTTTTGTAAAACATCAACTTGCCTTGAAGAAGCAATTAATGTAAAGTTAGCATTGAAATAAATACAGAAATCGCCACAGTAAAGGTATAAAAATTTAGAAGCACTTGAGCGGTTTTAAAATAATTCCTAACTAAAATAATTAAAAAGCATATTCTTTTGAAGATAAAAGTTTTTTGAGATTTCAAACATAATGAAAATGAGTACTTTTCCTTTTATTGTTTTTAATAAAATACTTACAACAAAGAGAAGAAATGATTCATATTTGAAATATAAATTTTGAGCTTATTTATTATATTCATTCCTTTATTATGTATATAAGAAATAAATGTACTGTAAAAAGGGCATAAGCACTGGTTGCACTTCTGTTACTCATTTAGCTCTACCCAGTGGGTACGTGTAGCTTGCTACAGATACGAGTAACACTACTGCTGCCACAACGCTCATATTAGACCGGGACCTACTGTTTTAAAATGGATTCGAATCACTGCAAACATTCCTGGCATCTCCGGGACTCGAACCCGAGACCTGCTCTTCCAAGCACCAGAGCTCCTAACCACTCAGCCATCAGGCCCCGCAGATATAAGCTGTTTAAATGTTTTTTTATAAGTTAAATTAAGATTCATTCTAAAACTTTTATTATGCATACGATTTT